TCCTCAGTTTAAGCCACTTTTCCCTCAAACTCCTTTTTTCTGGGGTTACTGGGGCACGCTAGGGAGGAACTGGGGGCACTGGGCAGGGGACTAGAGGCCCTGGGATGGGACTGGGAAGATGAAATAGAAAAGAGAAAGAAAAAGGATCTCCCCACACCTCCAGACACTGTCCCACCTGCTCAGGGGTGCCACTCTCCCTCCTCATCCTCACTGACCACACCTGGGGCTGTCCCAATCCTCCTCATCCTCACTGACCCCACCCGGGGCTGTCCCAATCCTCCTCATCCTCACTGACCCCACCCGGGGCTGTCCCAATCCTCCTCATCCTCACTGACCCCACCCGGGGCTGTCCCAATCCTCCTCATCCTCACTGACCCCACCCGGGGCTGTCCCAATCCTCCTCATCCTCACTGACCCCGCCTGGGCTGTGATTTCCTCCCTTCCCGAAGGCTGTTCTGCTCTCATCCTGGCCATCAGCCCGATGATTTATTTTATTTGGAAGGGCACTCAGCACTCAGCTGCTCTCTCTCAGCAGCCAAGGCACTTTCTGGAGCTCTCTGGACATCAGAAAAGCCGTGGCAATTATCAGGAGCCGGCAGATTTTGTCCGAGGGATGCTCCACGCGATGCTCAGCAGCACTTGGGTTTGGGCACCCAAACACTGCACATTTCAGCCTGAGCCATCCCTTCAGCTGAGCCCATGGTCTGGGCTCACACTTCTGCCTGACACCTGCTCCAGGTGTGGCTGAGCTCCGCAGGCAAAGCTGAAAATGTTCTTAAGAGCTAAAACTCCTCCTAACTGAGCGCCCAGGCTCTCACAGGGGTTATTTCCAAAATCTGTTTCAGCTGCTTCACCAACTTCCACCTTGCAGATTTAACCTGCAGCGTCCTTCTGCACTTTGCTCAGGTGGTTTCATTCTCTCTAGGCAATTTATGGCTCAGAGGTTGTGCTCTTTCCCTTCCTCCCTTCCATCGGGCAGTCGCCACACAGGCCACTAATAGGAAGGGAACATCACTGTATTTAACTTATTGCTGAGAGCCTCTGCCATAGCCAGGACTCTGAATTCCAAGCCCTTCTGCTTGGGAGTCCCTACAGATATCCACATCCCCCAGTGAGGGTTCAGGACAGTTTTTGCTGCCTCCGCTGAGGACCTCGCACTGCTCAGAGCTGAAGAGCTCCGACAGAGCAGGCGGTGTGAGCAGCATCCCCGTTACCTGCCCAGAGGGTTTGCAACCGGGATTTCACCACAAGGACAGCTCTGAGGGGCTTCGTGGAACCCCTCTGAGAGCCCCCCGTGTGCTGCCTCCTTCCCAGGGCTCAGCGAGCCGGGCTGGGGCTGCACAGGGCTGTGAGCTCCTGCTGTCCTCACCTGTGCTTCATCCTGCTTCCCCCACGAGGCACAAGCGAAGCCGTCTGTGTGAAGGGACGAAAGAACCGGCTGTGACAATCCCTCGGCGCCTTTCTCCGGTGCCGGGAGGCGGAGCAGGGAGGCTCCGAGTTTCACTTTCTGTGTCTGCTCCAGGCCGAGCGGGAAATGAAAACTGCGGGGCGGGCGCTGCCTCTGGCGGGCGGTGCCTCTGCCTGACGCGGCGGGGCCGCCCCGCTCCGCCCGCTGCCCTCCCGAGCGGGTCCCGAGCGGTCCCGAGCGGTCCCGAGTTCCGGGTGGGTGCCGAGCGGGTCCCGGAGCTCTGCCGAGCGGGTCCCGAGCGGTCCCGGGTCCCGGAGCCCTCCCGAGCGTGTCCCGAGCGGTCCCGAGCGGGTCCCGAGCGGTCCCGAGCGGGTCCCGGAGCTCTCCCGAGCGGGTCCCGGAGCTCTCCCGAGCGGGTCCCGGAGCTCTCCCGAGCGGGTCCCGGAGCTCTCCCGGGTCCCGGAGCCCTCCCTCCCGGGTCCCTGAGCCCTCCCCGGTCCCGGAGCTCTCCTGCTGCCCCGGAGGAGCGGCTCCTCCGCTGGCACACTCGCTGCTCCATCCCCCGCTGCCCCCTGAGCGGGAGGTGCGGTCCGAAGCGCTGCTGGAATTGGTAAGAAGCCCTTTAGCTGATTTGGATCGGCGAGTCAGGAGGGAAGGGGATCAAGAGGGAAATAATAACGGGGAGTAGTTTGGTGGCTAAGTCTGAAGTCTTTCATCCGCATCCCAGAGAGTGTGGAGGTGATGAGCTCTCAGGTGTTTTCTTCCCCTCAAGGGTGGGCAGCCACACTGAATCTCTGCTGGAGCCCTTGGAGGAGCACCTCAGGGGGCACCGTGGAAAAGTTTGGGTTGGAAGGGAGCTTGAAGGTCATCTAGTTCCAATCCCCGTGCTGAGGGCAGGGACACCCGCTAGAACAGATTGTTCAGAGCCCCATCCAACGTGGTCCTGCACCCCGAGATCCCCATGAAGGAAAAAAGGATCTGACAGGGAAGGGATGACAAGTGCCAGAGGTGGGAGCCCTCCTCGGGTATGGGTAGGGAAGGGACAATTTGGGGTTTATCATGAGAAGCTGGTGTCCTGGGAGGGCAGGTGGAGGCTGCAGCAGTCCGGGGAGAGAGGTCCCTGTGCAGGGAAAAAGGCCAAGCACAAGTCTTAGGAGGGCTGTATTTCTGATAGCTGAAACCAGGCGGTTCCAAGGGTTGGCAAGTTCTGGTTGTGTCCCTGCTCCCACAACGGGATTCCTGATAGTGGTGACTGGGAGAAAATTCCATGGAACCAGAGACACAAATCCCTCTGTATCCCCCTGCACCTTTCTGCCCCAAGATCTTTCTACCTTTTCCTCAAGTCACCCAAAGCCATCCAGCGCTGTTGCTTGCTCTTTAATCCCACTCTTAGTCCTCCCTTTCCTGACAAAACCTGTGCCCTACAGGTTTACTTTGTCCCCTCTAGCTGTTGTTCAGCTGCCCCTCTCCTTTCTGTCTCCTTTGACATCCTCACTGCCTGTGAGCATCCCTTCCCTTCTGTGATTCTACACCAGCTAAACCCACCAGCCTGAGATGGGCTCCCACTCCAGCTCAGCTTCCAGAAACCTGAATTCACCCTTAAATCACCCCCAGGAAAACAGGCAGTCTGTGTCCAGGCTCCCTTTTGGCAAGGGAGAAATCAGATTAAATTTATATTTTCTTTTTCTAATCACCAGGTTTGGGTATTAAAGAGTAACATCCTTGAATATGTCTTTCAGAGTTAATTTCTTTCTCTCCAAAAAAAAAAAAAACTTCTCAGCAAATCATTAATATTTGGTGGATCTTAGTGTGTGACACTTAGAGATCAAAAGTAAGCAATCAAAAGTACAGTTGGAAATAAGTATATCTAAGTTTAAAGGTAATAATCAGGAAAAAAAATCTATTTCTAGCTTCTCTGCATGATTCTTCACCAACTTTGATATTTGACACTATTAGGCATAGTTAACCCAAAAACATGTTTTTAAAGCAGAGATTTTATTTTCTTTATATGAAAGGCAGAACCAGGATTTTGCTTATTTCCCTTTCTTGGTAGCTTTTCTTAATTCTTTCAGTGCTTGGCCTTAGCTTGATTTTACGTGCTGTTTAATATTTGTAGAATAATCATTTCCAAGCATTTTTTTTGGGTCTCCACATCCCCCTTTTTCCATGAATATTTGTTTTTTTCTGTTTGTGTCTCCATGTTGGTGGTGGACTCTTAGAAAGTTTCATTTTTGCCTAGTTGCATTTGCACTTTTATCAGATTATTTTGTTTGTGTATTTTTATTTTGCTTTAGTAGCTGAGTCACAGGAGACCTTGTCAGAGTAATGGGCTGTTGAATACTCCTTTAAAAATCAAGGCATTATAATTGTTCTCTTGCATTAACAGTTACTTTGCCTGTGATCACTTGAACGAACAGAAAAAGAAACTGATATGTTGGTGCTTAAATGTCTTTCAAAATTACAGTCCAAAGTGCCCCAGTGGTGCTGTGACTCAGGAGCTTAAAACCAACGCAGGGAGCCCAGTACAGAAACCAAACTGGCTTATCTGGTCAGAAGAGAAGGTGAAAAATTACCTTTTCGATACTTAGGCTACTTTTTTTTGATAGAATATTTCACTAAAAAAAAGAGTTTTGCAGTGTCTGCTTTTGGGCAATTTTAATCATCTTATTTACCAAACCTTTCTGAACAGGGATTTGTGGAGTTCCTTGGCTAGATGGAGCTGTCTCTGTGGAACTGAAGGCTCATTTATTTATTTAGCCACAAGAGGAAGACAGGATGAGCAATTGCCACCAAACTCTGTTTCTGTTCCCTTAGCAATAGCCTGCACACCTCAACACCCATGTTAATTCAAATATCCCACATGCTGTTGCAGGAATCTTACTGATTTTATTGATGTTCCAGGCTGGGCTGGATGGGGCCCTGAGCAACCTGATCTAGTGGGTGACATCCCTGTCTGTGGCAGGGGGTTGAAATTTGATGACCTTTAAGGTTCCCTTCCAACCCAAACCATTCAATGATTTTTATTTTTTTTTTTTTATTTCACCTTTTTCATGATGAAAATGTTTCTGAAGTCCTTTTGTTCCTTGATCAATATTGTTGATGGGACAAAGAAGTGGACGTCAAGAAAGAAGCAGGAAACCAGAGGTGGCACTAAGCAAGACCATGGAGGCAGAAATTGAAATACAAAACAATAGAGAGGAAACCGAAGAGCTGAAGGCCAAAAACCAGAAGCTGACATCAGTCTTTGGTGTGGCAGACTTAAAAAATGGTAATAATGTTTTGCCTATTCTTCACTGTCATATTTTCTGTTTCTCATGCCTGGTGTTCCATTCTCTGTCCATAGGCTTAAATTTTCTCCTATTTCTTACCTCTTCACTGAGGAATATACAGATAACTCTCATTTTACCTTGCCAAGTAACCATTTTGAGGTTTTTTTTGGAATGGAATACATGAAGATCTCGGAGTTTTTTCCCTGTTTAAGCCCTCAAGTTGGCCATTGCAGACAAAAAAGCCTACTTGCTGGCTCTGGCTCTTTCCAAACACAGCCAGCATTGCTGGATTTGCTAAACCATGGACTGGGCCCTGTTTTTTTTCCTCACACAGGCAGTCTTTGCCTCCTGTTATTCTATTTTATTTCTATTTTATGTTTAGTGTGTTAGGAGAGGACTAAAAACAGAGGAGCTGGGAGAAATCTGAGCATCATTAGCCAGATTTACTTGTATTTTTTCCTGTCAGTTGCCAAACAAGACCAAATCTGCTTGAGCAGCAGCAGAATAGCTTGAACACTTTTCCAGGTCTGACCAAGACACTGAATGACTGAATGTGGACAAGAAGAGTTTGCCACTTCCAGATAATTTTCACTTTCTTTTCTTGTACCTATCCCCAGGCCTCACTTCTCTCTCTTCCTCTTTTTCTCCCCTGCAGAAGCTGTTGGACTGTACAACCTTGGGCAGAGCTGCTGTCTGAACTCTCTGCTCCAGGTGTTCCTCATGAATATATGCTTCACAAGGATACTCCGAAGGTACCACCTGTTTGAGCTACCTGAGTGAGACATTTCCATCATTGCTCTGTTGTCTCCACTCCTTTTTATTTCCTATGGGATGTACTTTTGGAGGCTTGGATCACCGAGGTGCTGTCAGGATGCTTTTGGTACCTCAGCAAGGTCTCTGCCTTGTTGTGTCTGTCATACACTGACACTGTGAAAGCAGAAGTTGCTGTGTTCAGAATTGTAAATCATCTCTGATTCGTGTCCTGGGCAGAGTCTTTATGGCTTGCATCTCTCTTTTCCGTAACAGGCTATAATTTTATTCCAGGTTTGCTCACAGGCTGTTATAATAAAGGATGTATCATGTGTAGCCATATCCACTATTAATTTTGTCACTTGAATCATGGAAACATAAACAAACCCCAATCCCTGGGCCCTGGCTGTCCTGGCTAGCCCCTTATAGAGGAGAGTGTTGTTGCAGATCATGAATACCTAGAATTACTTTGTTTTGCTTAACTGTTGTCCCTGCATGTTTTGAGGAGGATTTGGGTTTCTGTCTCCCTACTGACCACATTGATAACTGGTTTGATTTGTTTTTGGTTTGCTCACTTCACTGCAGATTTAATCATCTAAGTGGATCATTCCTATTCAGTGCTTTCTTACATGCTCACTACTGAGCAGAGGAGAGAGAAAACAAATTACAGACATGCAGAAACAATAAGTGTCATAAATGGGCAAAGCTAAATAACGTAGGCTGTAGGTTACCATGCTTATTTGAAGTAAGAAAAACCTATGGACTACAGTAAATTTAGGGAGAATTAAGAGTTATGGTTGAAATATAAACATTATATCTGCCCAGGAAATTTTGAGGGCTGGTTGAGGGTGAGGACATCAGTGGGTGGGAGGCAATAAAGGTCTGAAACTGGCTGTAACTAATGTTGTTTCTGAGGCCAGAAAGCATTTGAGGTCCTGCTTGGCTTGTCTCTTATCCAGGAACAAACCAACTTAAAATTCTGGCCTTTTATTTTAGAACTGTCAGCCTGCACTCTGGGATGAGCTAGTGTGGGTGACTTCGTCTTTTTCCTTCTTTTGCTGCAATTGTGCCCATTCTGATTCCTCTTGAGCTGCTGTCTCTGCTACTGACCTGTGCTCCTTCAGGTGTGGTGTCTGATATTTCTCCATTGTACCTCTTAATTACCACTGGTGTTTCTTCTTCCCCTTTCAGGATCACAGTGCCACCGTCTCCTGCGCAGAGGAGGAGCAATGTCCCGTACCAGATGCTCCTGCTGTTGGAGAAGATGCAGTATGGCAAGTGCAAAGCTGTTGGTCCCAGAGAGCTGGCTTGCTGCCTCTCAGAGCACAGAGTGAAATGTGAGCAGCCCTGCCTCGTGCCCACCTCTGCCTGCACTATCCAGCACTCCAACATCTCCCCATTCCGTTTCTGAATTGAGAAATGCCAGGAGTTAGGTGCACAATGACACAGGGCTCCTGGGAGCTGCCTCCCAGCTGAGTGCAATGCTGTGTCTTACTTGTGAAGAGAGAAAAAAGTCAAACAACCCTGCTGGATATATTTGCTGATATCCAAAAGGTTATAGAAAAAGGGATATAGAAAAAGTTATATCCAAAGGGATAGAAAACTATCAGCCTGCTAGAAGATACAGCTCTGGATATTGGCCAGGAGGAAAGGGCTGTGCAGGGCAGAGAGTTCACTGCTTGATTTGTCTTGCTGTACTGGCATCATGATAGCAAAACAGCTGCTGTTACTTATTAGAAGAAAGGGATAGTGTGGGAAAGAGAATTAATTTGCACAGATCCCCCTCCTGCTCCTTCTTATAAGGGCAGAGAGAAGAAATTGCAGGCTAAATCTCCCAGCTGCTCAAAGTTCTAAAAGAAAGAGGTTTTAGTGCATGAGTGACCAGTGAGAATGGGATGCCAAGAGTCAGTCTGTGTGTACAAATACACAGGGTGTATATATATATATATATATAACCAAATGCCCTTATCTTTGTCATATAAACTGAAAGGGGAGGTGCCCTGACCTTTATGAAAGAGGAACACAAGATAAACTCAGTATCTCTGCATCATTTTTCTCCTGAGTCTGAGTGGCTTTGCAGCCCTCTCTCTTCCAGTTAAAGAGAGATAGGGATCAAAGAGTTTGTACTAGCTGATGTGTGAGATATATGCATGAGCCCTCCTGTCATTTTAATCTCAGCACTCAGGAGCATTTTAGCCTGCATGGGTGGATGGGGGAAATAAAGGTCTGTGCAGTAATAAAGGTGAAAAAGAGAACAGAATCTTCCCTGTGCTGTTTCTAAGGAGGATTCAAAGTGGGCTGCTTACAAGGGCATGGTAGGACATGGGACATAGAAGTGACAGGACAAGGGGTTATGGCTTGAAACTGGTTTAGATTAAATATTGGGAAGAGATTTTTTAACTGTGGGAGTGGTGAGACGCTGCTGCAGGGTGCCCAGAGAAGCTGTGGATGCTGTGCCCCTGAAAGGGTTCAAGGACAGGCTGGAAGGTGTTTGCTGGTCTGCTGGAAGGTGTCTTTGCCCATGGTGGGGGAAGAGGGAAACCAGATGATATTTAAGGCTCCTTCCAACCCAAACCATTCTCTGATGCTGTGAAATGCACTCCTCAATCCAGGGAGCCATCTGAGCCCTCCTCCGGTAGGTGTTGAGTATCCTCTTGTCCCTGCATCTGGTGACAGAGACAGGACTTTTGCACTGGCTGGTACAAACTCTCTTTTCCCACTGCCTGCTCAGGTCACGTGGAGAAATCACAGCTTGTGCCCAGCCTAAGCTCTGTCTCAGCAGGGAGGAGCAAAGGCCAAGAGACTGGATCTAAGGGGGGACAGTCAATCTCCTTTTGGCATTTGTGGGAAATCTGCTGTGCTGGGTGCTGTTCATGATGCTGATTGAGGTTGTGTTTCCTGTTTGTGCAGTGTTTGTGCAGCATGATGCTGCTCAGCTCTTTCTGACTCTCTGGAACTTGTTAAAGAAGCAGATGAAAAAGCCAGAGCTGGTAAGGATGATGACTGAAATGAGCCTTTGCCCATTATCACGTGTGGTTTCCTCTGCTCCTTGAAGGATCCCATTCACTGGCAATTGTCCTAAGCTAAATTTTTAAGATTATCCCCTCTTTCATTGCATCTTTCAAATGGGACAGAGAATCTTTGTTTCATAAGCTTCAACATTCTGAACCACAGCTAAGTTTTGCTCATTCTGCTTTCAGGGAATGCCAGCCTCCATACTAATGGATGAGCTGATTAATAACTAAAATATTGATCTTTTAGAACATTGTATTTATTCATGTTTAATTTCTTTTTTTTTCCCCCCCCAAATTTCTGTAAGCATTTATTGGTGTATCTTGACACAGCCTTTCCATTCTTTGAAGTCAGCCACGTGCATTTCATTACAATTAGTCACTGACAGAACATGATTTATATTGCAGTTCCTCCCATGGGACTGGGAAGAGAAAAAGAAACTTTTCCTTGAGTGGCAGTCACAGTTTTATTAATACAGAAGTCAGGCTCCTGTTTCAGTTTCAAGCAAAACCCACCAATTCTGCATCAATGCAGATATTTAATTCTCTGATCCTCTAGGCTGTGTCTTTCCCCTCTGTTGGGGAATGGGAAGGAATTGTTCTCATTTAAATTGTGGGAAGTACCCTGTCCACATAAGTCATTGTCACACCTTGGTTCCAACCTTAAAGCAATGACCTTGCTTGAAATGTGTGACCACATGGGCTTTCCCAGCCACGGGGGAACAGCTCAGCTGTCTTTGTCATAAATCTTGTTTTGGCCTTTCTTTTCCACCCCTCCAGGTAGAGGAGCTGAGTGATTTGTACACCATCTGCATACAGGAGCATCTGGCCTGTCAGAAATGCTCTTTTGAAATAAAGAGCAACAGCACCATGTTAACCCTTCCACTCCCAGTGCTGGATGCCAATTCTCACAGGCTGAAGACTCTGGTAAGTTTAGCAGCAGCGCTGTTTCCTTAGGAAAGAGATGATTCCCCTCTGTTCACAGAGGATTCTTCAAATGCCAGTGCACCACTGGACCTCATTGATTCTCTGACCACTTTATACTGTTTCAGCATAAAGGAGCTGCTTTGAAAACCTCTAAGGCTTTAAAGGAGATGTAAAAGACATTTATCCATCAATACCTTCTTTGTGGAATATGTGCACTCTTTTTTTTCCCCCCCAACTATTGCAATCACAGCAGCAGCTAGGAGAAATGAGGAACTTTTTGTTTCAGGCTGCTAGGCAGTCTTTTGTCCTTTGAATAAAAACATGCCTTCTGTAACTTTGCTGTTTGCTTGGACCCTCTGAAATAAGTAGAAATAAAAACCCAGCTTGGAGGAATTCAGTTGGAAGAATTCTCTGTCTTCTTAGGAGGATTGTCTGCAATACTTCTTCCATCCAGAGGAGCTGACTGGGCTAAACATGTGTTTCTGTCAACAGTGTGGGAGGAAAACAACTTTTCTGCAGGTAAGTGGAGAACTATTTCCCCACATCTCATACCCAGAACTCCCTTGAGGACTGGGGAGGGTGGGGAAAGGACTCAACCATATCAGTTTAAGAGATCAACAACTGAGATTTGCCAGCGCAGCAGTGTCAGTGAGATATAAACCACAGGCATCCCTCCTCCTGTTGGGAAGGAGGTCCCTTGTCACAAGGAAGTTGATTTGTGTCTCCTCACCTTCCTAGTGCTACCAACTTAGAGCTCTAAAGCACATGGGAAGTGCAGCAGCCCTTGAGACAACACCCAAGGCTGGGTGCTGATGACACTAAAGCTGAAAATCTTGGCTATCACAGCTTGTGTTATGTGGATGTGCCTTGTGTGCAGCTGGGCTACAAAGGTTTGGCATCTGCTGTGCCCTGGAATTGGCAAATATTCACTGGAGCACTGGCTGCCCTCCGTTCTACACACACTGGGTGGCAATGGCTGTTTCCACCCTGCTCCCCAGGGTTTGTTCCCCAGTTCTCAATGGTGTTTTTTATTGCTTTATAGAGCATGAAGCTCGTCCATCTGCCACGGACTCTGACCTTGCACCTAAAACGCTTCTGCTTTGAAAGATCCTCTCGCACACACAAGCTGAGTCACTCCCTGCCATTCCCACAAGAACTTGATTTCAGGGAAGTCTTGAAAGAAAATCAGTGTCAAGCAGATGACAGTGAAAAGGTGAGATCCTTCTGTTCAAAAAGGGCAGATTTTCTTCTCCTCTCTGCTCCATTCTCATAAAAATTTAAGAGATCACATCAATACCTGTCTCAGTTCAAAGTGCCTGTCTTAAAAATTTGTGTCTCAAACTTTGCCTGTGCCTGGTGTTGTCTCACATCCCACAGTTTTAACTGGTTCAGCCATTATTCAGCACTCTGTGATTAAATCACATTAAATTAAATAAATTTGGTGATCAAATCACCAAAGGCACCATAACTGGAAGTTCCTGTCTTAAGGACAGAAGCCAGGCTTTGCAGATCTCAGCTGTCCAAGACAGGGGGGAACTCTGTTCCTGCTGTTTCCCATGCAGCATTTTTGGTATTGTTGGCAGAGTTTGGCGTTGCTGGCCACAGCAGCTTTGCCAGGGAGCTGAGCTGGATCTGCCCCACTGTGGACTTGTTTCTCTTTTGGGAAATAAGGAGGGGAAGCGTGGCAACAACAGAAGTCACCGCTGCAGCGTTGGCTGTGGAGAACCTCTTTGCTGATCCTCTGCTGTCCTGCTGCCTTTTTCACAATCCTCTGGTCTCCAGGGGGTGCTGCCAGCCCATAGCTGACAGGAAAAATTCTGAGGGTAAGAGCAAAAAAAAGGCAGGGTGCTCAAGGCTGATCTGATCTTTTTTTCCTTACAGAATTCACATCCTTGCTGCCCTGGCTGCTGCTCCACTACGGTCCATGGCAGATGAGAAATGCTGCACTGAAAATTGCTCTTTGTGTCTCTTTACAGGCTACCTGGAAGTATGAGCTTTTTGCAGTGGTTGCTCATTCAGGATCAACCAGCTGTGGACATTACTGTGCCTACATTCGGAGCCTCACCGAGGGTAAATGGTATTGCTTCAACGATTCTGAGGTTTGCCAGGTGAGCAGATCAAGCCACGTTTTTGTACCTTCCTGGACACTCCTCTAGGTCTCCTCCAGTCTGACTAAAGAGAGCCAGGAAAGGAAACTGAGTCTGTTTGAAAGAGGTTTGTTCACTTCTGCTACAGGATGCTCTGGGCTGAGGGCAGAGTGACTCTCACTTCTGCACCAAACAAGGCCTCAGGGTCTGTTGAGTGATTTGCAGAAGCAGCCATTTGATGAATATCCTACTCAATGTACCCCACATCTGTTCAATGTCTGCATTCAGAACTGTTTTTCCTCAAAGAGTAAAAGCAGAAAAACAATTTATTGAAAGGTGTTTAGCTCCTGGAAGTGCCACTTATTATACCACTCTTATCTCTTGCGTGCTTTTCTTCTCTAGGTATCGTGGGATGATGTTAAATGCACCTATGGACATTCCAACCTCCACTGGTATGCAAATGTATCCCTGATTTTTTCCTAGTGCTGCTCTGGACTTTGGAATGAGGGTAGCAAAGAGAGGGAAGACAAATTGGTTTGGGCTGCATATTGCCTGGGGTGTAGTGGGCATGCAGGAGATGTCAGTCAGGATTTCTCCATGCTTTTTGTTTCGATGCATCATAAGAAAATGAGTTTACAGGAGGGAGACAATCTCTCCTATAAACTACAGCACTGCCAGGGAATCTTGGGCACACTGGAGAAGACCAGCTTAGCTGACCTAAAGCTCAGAAAGATGAACAGGAGCAATTCTGGGATGTTACCTGCAACCTAGATCTTCAAACATACCTTGTGTTTTGCTTTCTCTTTGCCTCCACAGGACAGAAACAGCCTATCTCTTGTTTTATATGAAAAAGCACCCTTGGTAGGCCTGTCCTGGAGTATCAGAATGTCTCTGAGAGCTGTGCATTGTCCATGGAGCTCAGCACTTCTATGCCAGTGCAGACATGCACAAATGTTTCACAAGAAAGACATTCTGCACTCAGCAACCTCGGTCTTCACATTTATTTATGAAAAAAGTGCAGCAGACACTCAGCTAGGGAATGGATCCAGGAAGAGTTGCAACTACAGACCTTTTCCTTTGTGTGTTTTATGTGTTTATGTGGCTCTACATGTTTATTTCCTCTTTAGAAGATGGTGAAATTGGTCCTTGTCTCTGCTGCCTTGCTGTTTTCCTTGATGCTGATCTCTGGATTCCAGCCCAGGGGAAGTGTTTGGTCTGAAAGCCTCTGTGATGTGTGTGGTAAAACTGGAGAGCTGTGGGAGCCAGACAGAGCCAGTAAGAGCTTGAGATTTACTTTGTCCTTTTAGCACCATGTTAAATGCTGGCAAGCAGGGCAGGAGACCCCAAAAATCACCCCAGAAACAGCTTGGGGGAGGCTCAGAACCCTTATGACGCACATCAGTGGCACACACTCCTTAAAACCTGCCTGAAAATGAATCACTGCAGGGCCTGAGATGTGTTAAAGAGGTGTTTTAAATCACCTAATCACCTGTGTTTTAATCACAATAAGTTGGATTTATTGGAGCAGTTCTGATTTACAAGATGAGTTTGTGTAAATTTGTGCAGGTGATTATTGTTTCAACAGGCTTATCAGGCTTTTAGATGCATTTTCTTTCCTGTAGAGGAAAACATTCAGAGCAGCAGAGATTCTGAGGCTGGTTAGTGATTTTGCACTACACAGGCCATACACAGTGATAAGGAAAGTGGGATGCTTTGATGTACTGGAACTTCTGGGATTTTTGGTTTTGTGTGGTTTTGAAAGCACTCTTGACATTAACTCTTGCTGATCCTCTTGGATTGAGGATCCCAGCAGTTTGAGATCTGGAAGAACCTTCAACCTAATGCACTCTATGACTGTATCTTTACAAAGGTGCTGGTTTTGTGGGACTGAGCAATTATGAAAATTATATTAAAATTATAGAAATTACATAAGACTGTAAAACTAATGAAGATATGCTACCATCTATGTAAAAATTAATTTAATTTTGGTAATGATGATGACTCATGTCTATTTCCTGAATGTAAACTGAGAAATCTTAGAGTAATTTCACAGCTATGCTCTTTTCATGGTGTAGCAGGCTTTTATTTCACTGTGTTAGCAATGTCCATTATTCTGTTCAGCTCTGTGTTTGTATTATTTATTCTGTGGTAAAAAAAAATCCCAGAGTATTATTTTCCATCAAGATGAGGAATTTTCAGCCTGTTCACCTTCAGGAATGCATTGCACTCTTTTTTAAAGCATCTTGCAACAGGTGAGTAAGAAAAACAAGTTTCTGTTTGTTTTTCCAACACTTTGCCTCTGTGAAGGAGCTGAAAAAAGCTGCATTCCCAGGAACTGAGAAGTTAATGGAGCAAGAGACTGACCTTTCTAATTAGCTGTAACTTCAAATATAAAACCTTATGCTTATGAAAAATGCCTTAAATGTGTCACAACCTTCCAGGGCTGTCATCCATCAAGGAAACAATTGCAGAGATATATTTAAGAATGTGGAAAAAAACCCATTTAATTTCAATGAAAAGTAATCAGTGGTTTTTTGAATAAAATAGTATGGGATAAATTCCTTAGAAAATCAATCTTGTGGTTTATTCTTGATCTGTTCCTCCTAAACACTGTGAATGCAGGTCAGGTATTCAGGGTAGAGCTGCTGCTAATGTTTAGCTCCCAGAGCCACGGAAAACCAGCTGAACCTGGACACTTCACCCTTGTGCTGGAGGCACAGTGAGTTTATTTTGGGGCTTGCTGTCATGTGAAAGCTTAAATTGCTCCCACATGCAGATGGACCACAGGAGAGCAGGAGGGTGAGCAGTGCGAAAAACTGTTAATTTAGGTGAACCATTTTTAACAACTGCCTGAGCTGAGCTGCTTTTGCAAAAAGTCACTTTGGCTGCCCCTGTGTCCCCCCCAGAATTTCTGCCAGAAACACTTTTCCACCAAAAACTGCTACAAAGGAGCTGGGATTATTTGTCCTGTGTTTGAGTCACTGTGCAAATAAGCTCAGCACCAGCAGCAAGGGCTTTGAAAAGCCAGATAAAACCAAGAGGGTGTGTGTGGAGAGATTATTGTAGGTCCTGGTAACTCCTTGCTTCTGTTTTTTGTTTGGTTTAGGATTACCATGTGGTAGCAGATTACACAATCTCTGCTTCATCTCTGCCAAAATCCTCCTCAAATTCAGATATTCCTTACCTTCAAGAAACACACAGAAAAAACCAGGGGGGAAATGTAAATACATCTAATAAATGTCTCACAAAGATATAATTTCTAGAATGTCAATATGTAATTTACAAAATCACTGAAGGACAGGGAAACAATGATTCAGATATGGGCATCACAGATATCTCACCTGCATTATTCCTTTTTCTCACAAATAAGGATAAAAACCATGTAGGGGACTGAAATCTCAACACAGCAGCCCTGGGCATTAGAAGTGCTGGTTAAACCCTGATTTCCTGGCAGTATTTAGGCCTGACTTTTTTGAGCAGAGAAATAAAATTAAAAGGGTTCTTCTGAGTCGAGTGACCACTCATCAATACAGCAGCTGACAGCAAAAGCTATGGGGAGCCTTGAGCTCAAACATATATATTTTAAAATAGCAATAAAAAATATAAAAATATAAAACCATGGATGCACAGTGCCATGGGGATGAAGCCATATTGGGAATTTTTAAAAAAATTATTCCTCCTGTGGACTGTTTAATGCTTCCTCCTGAGACAAGCAGCTATCTGGTATCTTCTGCTGATGTGAGATATGGTTTTGGGGCATGTGCCAACTCCCCAAAGACCACTTCCCTTGCAGGAAAGCAGAGACCATGAGGTATACAAAACCCTGCAACCTCAGCCAACGCAAAACTGCCATGATGAGCTCACTCAATAAATTCAGGAGGAGCCTGCAATCGGTTTTTAACTTCTTTGAAGGGTGAGATAAACCAAAATCTCTGCCTCCTCTTATCACAGCACTTCTGCCCATATTTTCCTTGTCTGCAGCCAGCCAGCAGGCAGGAGGGAGGGGCAGAGCTGATTTAAAAGGTTTTGCAAGAGACCACAGCCTCTCCTTGCTGGGAGGAGACCGCCCATGGCCACTTACCTGGAGCTGCCCACTCGTGCGAGGATGCCCATCCTGGGACTGGGGACCTGGCAGGTACCACGCTGGGAATCACAGCAGACTGGTTTTTATTCCAGCAACCTCCTCTTCTCATCAAGGGAGTGCAGCAAATCCTCTGTGCAATATTTCCTTTTGAAATATCTCAGGTAACGCGGGTATTTATTTATTCCCAGCCTTCAGGAAATCTTTGGAGCGAGTGGAGGTAGTCAAGTAGGTACAAGGTTTTTCTTAGCTGTGGAAAAAAATAAATTGCATGCTACAAAAGTAAAAACCTCTGCCCAGCTTGTTCCATTTTGTATTTTGGTTTTTGGGGTTTTTTTTGTTTTTCTTTTTGCTTTTGGTACTGGGTATTATCATCCCAGCACATCATGTAGATGTCATCTTTGATGAGTGTGTGTAGATAAAGGAACTTAAGGGGCAATAAGTAGATTGGAAATGGGAATTTGCAATAATTCCATAGAGATTGAGGATAACTTATTTTTATTGGCAGCAAATGAGTAAGCAGCACTTTGAAGGAAGATAGTTTGGGTGGTTCTTTACCTGCAAATGTTACCTAATGGACTTTGGGTAAGATAGAGTAGGTTTAAGAATATACTGAATTATAAATGTAAAAGGATTCTGGAAATGAGCTGAAAATTTTAAGAAACTGATCTTAAGAAAGATAAAAATATTTTAAAAAGTACATTCTCCCCTAGCTCTGATCCTCAGATCAGAGACTGGAAACAAAATATGTCAAATCACAACTTCCCAGCTCCATGAATCACTTTCCCAGTCACCATAAAAATATCTTAAATTCTTGCCATATTTTTGGGTCAGCTGATGCTAATCAGCATCTAACTTTATGTGCACGAAAGGGTTTGTTTAACCCTTTCAATCTTTATTTTTCTGGTGACAAAGGACACTAACAAGCCTAAAGTAGGCTTTTAAAACCAAAGTGTGCCTTGAGGGGGCCTCTTAGGGCACAAAGCTGTGATGGGGGAGCTCTCTGAAGGAACTTGTTACGTTGTTAATAAAAACTGATTAGAGCCAAGTAGAAGGAAAATTTCAGGCACACCATCCCTGCCACCACAAAATAATGTCTTCTGTTATGTAATGAAAACATGGCCCAAGCCCATGGTTTATTGGGCCATGGTTTATTCATCCATGGTTATGGTTTATTTCATTAAAGCTCTTTGATTTCAAGGTTCCCACAGCAGCCTCAGCCTTTTGGTGCAGTGATGGGGCCCAGCAGCTCTGAATCGAGCTCAGTGAGCACCTTGTAAAATGAAACAATGGATTATTTTCTCTGAAAAACATCTCACATGACAGAGTTTTATGTAATCTTGGGGTATGGTGTTGCCTTTGCTCTCCACTGGCTCCTCCCCTCGGAAGCGACACCGATCGCTTTGCCAAGCTGCAGCAGCACTGATGCCTTCAATTAATTAGAAATAGTTCTCCTATTTTCCAGATTCTGCACTGCCTTAGTGGATGGTTCTGAACTTCACATAAAGTGTCAGCAAGTTCTTCTCACAGTTCAGGCAGACAAAACAATTTTCCAGCCCCAGAACCAAGGACACCGCTGCAGCTTCAGGCCCAAAAATTATAAACAGTGAATTGAGGGGAGCAATCTGAGAGGATGGGATTTCATCACCTGAAGCTGTAATTGGACAATTAACCCCAATATAGAAATGGATCAAAACTTATAAAAGTCTGAAAAAATTTGCTGTGTTTTCTATGTTTTTGTTGTTGTTAATTTAGGTGGACCAACTCACCACCCTTTGACTGGAAAAATTTGGAGAAGTGATATAATTTTTAAAAAAAAAGTAGGAGTTGTTCATGGTTTTGAATCACTTTTCTGTTTGGAGTGCCATTTTCTAGATTCAGTATTCAAACAGCTCTTGGGTGTCCCCAAGCCAAGAATCTGAAGTGGTTTATTTTGCTATCAAGTACCAAGTGTGCACTTTACCCAGGAGGTGGCACTGTCTGTAGTGTTTTGAGTCCCCCACCTCCCTGTCCCGTGTCAACAAGAGCTGGATTGTTTTTGTGCAGGGCCAGCGCACACTCCAGAGGTGATTGGTTTCCTCATGTCACCGGTATGTCACACTGAAGTTGCTTTAAATTTCTGGGGAAATTAGAACTTATTTCAAGATAGCCTCGTGTCCCAAGGTGAACTCCCAATCCTTAGAAAAGGGTGGATCAGCTCAGGCACCTCATCAGTGATTCCCTTTGCCATTTGATTTCACAAAACCAACGAAAGCCAAATCCAGACTGGAATACCTCGTTATTCTGGGGCTTAAAAACGCCAGATTTTCAGAACACCAAACTTCTTAATCTGCTATTTAGCAAATCACCGGCTTCTCTTCTGGTTTCAGTGTCTCCAGGGAGCAGCAAGGGATGCAGTGAAGTTTGCCCTCGATGTTGGGTACCGTCACTTGGACTGCGCCTACATGTACCAGAACGAGAGGGAGATTGGGGATGCGCTGCGACAAAAAATTGAGGAGGGCGTCGTGAGGAGAGAAGAACTCTTTATTGTCAGCAAGGTGTGTCCTTGGATAGGATTTCTCACATGAGGCCAAGCTCTAGGGAGGAGAGACAAAGCCCCAGCATAGAAAGTGCCACGGGATGAAGCTGGGAATTAACTCTGCCAAGGCAAAGCAATTTGTGGATGGTGAGGGGAAGGAATAGGTCAACCCCTGAGGAACAAAAGGCTTGGTTTGAGAGGGGTTTTTTTGTAGTCCATATCCATTGTCAGCCATGGAGACAGGAACTGAGGCCGTGCTCTCGGTGGCCTCTGGGATAGGAAGCAGGGCTATTGTGTTCGTGGTCGCTCCTGCTGCGCCACCGGCCTCAGCCTGTCAACTCCTGTATGTTATGCCTTGTTTTGTTTTTTCCCCCAACAACAATGGTAGGAAAAATAAAGTAACTTCTATCTGCTGGAAGCTGGCGGGTCGATTTTCACCAGGTTAGCTTCTTTTCTTTGTTTTAATTGTTGCAATAATTGATGGAATTTCAGAGTATCCCATCCTTATTTTACTTAATGGTAGCACTGATAAATTCAGGTGCCTCAAGTGGCACTTGCTCGAGATGAGATGTGCAACATCCTGAGCTGCCTCTGTGCCTGTGCTGGGTGTTTCCCTGCCAGGGATGCTCTGCCATTGTGAGGGCAGGAGAGCAGCTCCCAGGCTTTGTGTTCCCCCACAGCTCTGGTCCACCTTCCACGAGAGATCCCTGGTGAAGGAGGTGTGCCAGAAAACACTTGCTGCCCTCCAGCTGAATTATTTGGATCTCTACCTGATGCACTCGCCCATGGGATTCAAGGTATTGCAATTTGAAGTCCTGGGATCCATCTGTCAGGGCTCTGCCCCTTTTGCCTTTGGGACCAGACCTGTCATTATGTCCAACCAGGAGTTGGTAAACCTTGTTAGGACATAATGATAAACCTCTGCAGGGGGAGCCCAGGAGGAAAGGTAAGGTCATGGCTGCTTAAACTAGGTCTTGTAGTACAAAAACCACTTTATTTTTCCCTGCACAGCATTTTCAAGTCATGGATCAAATTATCATGCAGATCACATTCCTCTTACAGTATGGGGTTTGGCTGCCATTTCCTTATCAAGAATCAAACATGCAAACTACTTAGTTCCAATTCTTCTCTCTTCTCTTCTCTTCTCTTCTCTTCTCTTCTCTTCTCTTCTCTTCTCTTCTCTTCTCTCTTCTCGCACCTTCCCTTGTCTCTTCCCTTGTCTCTTCTCTTGTCTCTTCTCTCCTCTTTTCTTCTCCCAGGTTAAATAAATCCTGGTTTCCCCATCACATCACCTCCCTGGCCTTCTCCCAACCTGAGGCATACAGAAGTGCCTGCCCTTCCTCTGCCTGCAGGACAGAGGCTCAAGAGACAGATTTTCTTGAAGATTTCTCTGTTGGTAAAGGCTCCTCATTTTTTCTGCCACGTCTCCCCCCACCACAAACATAAATCAGGATATCCAGCTCAGTGTCTCCAGCTCCACTTGCTAGCCCATATTTCTAAGTGATATCTTTAAGTACTTATAATTCAGCTGACCTTAATGTTGCTTTTCTTTTTGTGCTGATAGGCAGGAGAGGAGCTATTTCCTGCAGATGGAAACGGCATGATCATTCCCAGTGATACAGATTTTCTGGCTACATGGGAGGTACATTCATTTACAGGCTAAAAATATCTTGCTAGTTTGAAATAACAGCCTGAAAACTCTAAGCTTTCCACTGTGGGAATTGTTCTGAGAGAATTTCTAACAAAAAGCATTCGAGATTGCTGATTTCTCTGTGTCCTTGGGCTCCTTTTTGTGTCACTGTGCCAAAATTTAGGTATTTTTATGTCTACTGCTTATTAAACTGGCTGGGTTGGCAGGACAAGAGGAAATCTTTGACTGTCTGTGGACCCTACAGTGGCTTGAGCTAGAAAATGCTGTCGCTCTCATCCCTACCCTGCTGTCTGGGCAATTTTTGCTGGCTTTAGTTGTAGCCATGCTCATCTCTTGTTGCACCTGAGCCATCCAGACCCCAGGAAAGCCAACATTCCTGTGCCAATAAACCAGAGCCCCCAAATTTCTGTCTCTAGAAGGCAGTGGGACTTGGCCAAAGTCCTTTGCTAAGCTCTGTGTGCAGCACACACACTTGGGCACGAGTTCAAATTCCTGCTTGGCCAAGAGTTTGGGCTTCCTTTCCCTTCCACTCCCACCGTGTGCTCAGCACAGCCAGGCCAAAAGCAGGTAAGAACCTCACCAGAGTCAGAAGAACTCACTGATGCTTTTTGCCTTCTGTCAAATGAAGAATAAGGCACATTTATGTTGTTCATTTGAAGGAAAAAAGTGGACATTTCAGGCTGCTGCTTATGACAACTTCAAATGAAAATTATTTCTGCTTTGGAACAAGGGTATCTCCTGCTCTAAAGGCTGGTAGTAGATTATTTTCCCCCGTTTGTTTTCTGCTGGATGTGACAATCTAATTAGGGCTGTCTGGCTGTTTTCTTGCTCATTAGTGTGAAAGAAAATAGGTGATGGAGGGGGAACACAGTGCTGCTTATCCTATAATCCAACTGCTAAATGGTACATCTCTCTTGGGAAATTAATCAGTGTTGATCACCAGTATCCATCCTGTTCCAGCTGTCTCCTAACAGCTCCTTGTTGAGCTGCCTTGTTCCAAAGAAGTTGCTTTTTATTATGGGATGATTATTTGGTTAGCTGAGGAATTACCCTAAAAGAATCTCTTTCATCTATGTTAAGATCTGCCTGGGGATAGTATTTAAAAATGGTCATATTTTACTGTAATAATAATATTATTACAGGAGGAATTATGTGAATATTGCTGTTCTTTATCTGTATGGGGACACATGTGAGATCCTGAGTCTGACCAGAGCGCCACTGTTCATGTTCTGTTCTCACAGCACAAGAGGAGTCCAGCCAGGAAGATTTTTACCACTGAAATGGGCATTTTTCCCATATAAAAATGAAAGAACTTAATAGGAAGTGTGGTTCTGTGGTGTTTCTAGGCTATGGAAGAGCTCGTGGATTTGGGAATGGTGAAGGCTATTGGAGTCTCCAACTTCAACCGCAAACAGATCGATCGGCTCCTGAGCAAACCAGGCTTAAGACACAAACCTGCAAATAATCAGGTAAATTGTCCTCCAGCTCCTCTGTATCAACATCACAACTGTCTGGGGTTTGCACTGGATGTAAACTCTCTTAAAAGTGCCTCAAAAACCCGAGTTTCAAAAAGAACCACCTTTTCAAAGCTCATGTGGCACTTGTTAGGTCACCACAGTGATGCTAAACCTTGAAGTACCTTCTGAGAGCTGAAAGATAATTTTATTTTTTTTTTTTTTTGAGATTGAGAGCCACCCCTATCTTCCTCAGGAAGAGCTGATAAAGTTTTGCCAATCCAAAGGGATCTCTGTCACTGCATATTGTCCCCTTGGAGCACCCAACTGGCCAGGGTAAGAATGTTTTGTGAGATTTCTTTCTTAGATGTAGATAGGAGTCAGTGAAGAAAACCAGGCTTAGGATGTAGATGAAACCTCAAACTCCTGTAATTAGGAAAAGATTTACTAATTCATTAAAAAGAACACCCACAGAAACCTCACACTTATTGTGATATTCAGTTCACTACAGTTCTGTATTTTGAAGAAAAACAAGCAATTGGTTGATGAAAGCAGAAAAGAGAATTCTTTACTGAGATTTAGTGAACTTATTGAATATGTAGGAGAATTTCTGAACTAAAATAAAAAAATCCACTCACAACAAACCAAACAAAAAACCAAAGCAGCAGATACTTATGAAAATAGCAACTTTGCAGTCCTGCTGAGACAAAGGGATTCAGTTTTTAAATGGATAAGCTGCAGAAATTTTGCTTTTACTCCCATCTTCATGGCTTTCTCTGACCCAGGACAGGACATGTGCCAGAACAGCTGTGCTTGTAAAGGACAAAATTAAATTCTTGGGATGTGGATCAAAGAAATTCCCAGCCTGATCTCAGGCTGGATATAAATGTGTTATAGTGACCTGTTTTTACTAGAAATTACAGGCTCCTTCTCTCATGTGTTCAACATGTTAGACAAGGAAAGAGTGAAGGCAGGAACTGAAGAAACAAGATGTTAAATTGAAGTCTGCAAGACTATGCTTTTTAATCACTTAAATAATATTCTTATGATAAAGGGCTTGAGGGAGAAGACAATGGGTCATTCAACTACTGAAGCCTGGGTATTTTTATTTTCACAGGTCCAAGCCTGACCATATTTCCCTTTTTGATGATCCTCAAATTAAGGAAATTGCACTCAAGCACAACAAAACCCCAGCTCAGGTTAATACTGATCAGAATTATTTTCCCTGCCGTATTCTTCCTACTTGTGCTAAAGTAACTATTTACAGAGGTACTGTGGAATAGTAATATGGAATTCCAGCTGTGTCTTATACACAGTTTATTGCTTTAGAAAAATATTCTCTCTACCTTAGTTTTAGTGATGGACAGAAGATTTCCAGTGGCTTTGGGCTTTACCTGGAATAGGTGTTGTTTTTTTTACTGGCTGCATGTTCCACACTGCATCCCTGCCAATCATGAACTCTTGCTCAATGCACTCCTTTGTTATCATCTCAGCTTCACATATGGATAAGGAATTAATGAGCTCATGTAGTAATTAGGAAGGGTTTAGCTAGTGCTGTGAGCCCTCTCTGATTACCAGTAGAGCAGCTCTGTGGAACCATGCAGGCACCTTTGGTTTTCAGCTTTCAGAAGACAGGCAGCACTTCTCCTCTGTAAATTCCCTTTGTGTTCCTGCAGGTGCTTATCCGGCTCCAGATTCAAAGAAACGTGAGTGTAATTCCCAAATCTGTCACTCCACAGCGTATTGAAGAGAATTTTAAGGTAAGAAGGCACCTTACAGAGTGATTAAACTACACAGGAGAAAACCTCCATTCTATCAGTGGTACAAACCACCCACTTTCAAATGTAGAACTGTAAAACTTCATTAGATACCACATAGATTATTATTTTATGAATGCAAAAAGTCACTTTGAAAGTAAGGAGCCATCAGAACACATCAGGTAAGAGCCAAACTCTTGCACCTTGTGGTACAATGATGCTGCAGGCAGACCCCACCAGCACTGTAACCTTCACACATTTATTCTTTGCTCTCCCTACATGGATGCCTACTGCACAGCTCCTAGTGCTTCAGCCTGCTTTTGGTATTCTTTCTGCAAAGAAACTTCCTCATCTCACTGCAAACTGAAGTAACCCAGCTGTTTGGGACCTTGATGCAGGTGTTTGACTTTGAACTGACTAAAGAGGAGATGGAGACCCTCCTTGGTTTCAAGAAGCGCTATCGCATCTGTGCATTAAGCGAGTATCTCCTCCTCCTCCTCCTGGCTTTATGAGGATTGGATTACCACTGGATATTTGATAGCCCCACTTCAAAATAAAAACAGAGGGGGCCTTAGCCAACACCTGGTTGTATCTGCTGGACTCTCACACTTGAGTTTATTAGAGCATTGCCCAGCCTGTACAGGTTGGGAACACTGGGATTTCTGCAGGCACAATGTTCTTAAGATATCCTGTACTGGATGCATACCAAACTGCTGCCTGAAAATCAAAATCAGCTGGAAATTCCAAAATAAATAAGCAGCCACTTCCCCCAACCCCCGTTTTCTTTGGCTCCTTTACACAAGGGACAGTCAGAGTAAATAAACTCCATTTTAAGAATGAGAGTTGTAAGTTTTTTTGTGAAGGGAAGAGCTGTGCCTATGTACTCCTGCCAACGTTATTAAGGCAGTGCCTAGATAACAGAATGGTTACAGACTCACCAAAATCTTAAATTGATTCAGTTTTCCCAGGTTACCCACTTCTCTGTCAGCATCCTGGGCACTTGGGAGTTCCCAAGAGAGAGGTTTAATATAAAATTGCTCTGGCAATTTCAGCTGAGCAAAAGATACATTATCCCTTGAGAAGGAGGTCACTGATACATGCAAAGGTTACAGAGAATTCACTTCCCCTGCCCTGGGTACACTAAGCAGACACATTTTAGTTAATGTAGTTCAGTTTGAGTTCTTTTACCAGGGGGAAAAAAGCTTTTCCTTTAAACTATAAAGTGTTTTAATTGTGCTCTCCTTTTCTAGATGCAAAAATCACAAGGACTATCCTTTTTTTGAAGACTGACACAGGCATCAGCTTCAGAGCCTCCAGGGATCCAGACCATTTATTGTTATTTCAAGCAATCTGCAATACTTGGTGTATTAATTCATGATAGAAGGGGAATATGTATTAAAAAATGGGAGAAGGTAACTCTCAGGCATTCTGAAGGGTCACCTTTGAACATGGATATATTTGCTTCCCTTTTTATCAACCAGTTGTATCAGTCCTTTATCTGCTCTTGTAACACAGTTTTCAGTTGCAGCAAAATATATATTCTCTCTTAATTTAGCAGTGATAATGAAGTTTAATAAGCCCATTGACTGGGATTAGGGAAAAGCAGTCTCTGTCATAACTGTATATCTTGACAAAGCCTAGAGAAAATTTAAATTCTCTGATTAGTTATACTTTTGGACAAAAGGTCAATACACACACTTTTAATTATCAGTACAAGACAATCCATTTAACATCAAAAGATCTTAATGACATGACATGCTGAGTTCAGTAATTTCAGTGTAACAGACTGAAGCTCTTTAGAGGACACTGCTGAATTACAGTTCAGGAGCTCTTAATGAGGTTTCTTATTTATGAACTGCTAAAAACTAATAAACTACTAGGAGATTTGTATGTTTGGTTTATATTATCTGCAAGAGTATATAAATACTGCCTTTATCAGTAGAATGACTGCAGTTGAGACTGTGAATCTCTCCTAGAAAATCCCAAGTCTGATAAAGGAGACACACAGGAATTATTTTGTTTGGCAACTGTCATATTTAGCAAGCAGAAAAGCTGGGCAGCTTCACAGAAGCCAACAGTAGATTTTCACTCTCCTGTACTGTTCCCTAGGTAGTTTCCTTGTGTTTTGACTCAAAGGATGTCTCTGGATGCTGTTATCTCTAGTTAAAAAAAAAAAAAGTCAGTGCTGCTGCAGCCCATGCTGGTGTTTTAATGAGGTGTCTGTTAATCAAGATTTGCTCTTTAACACTTGACTCAAAACTCCTGTAACTTGCTTTAGGCTCTTGCAGCCCAGGGTAAGAACAGTGTGGCTCAGCACTGCATGCAGAGAGAAGGACAATTGTGTAATTAAGGTTCAGGACTAGGATACACACTTTATGGATATCCTTTTCCAACTGATTTTCTTTGTAGTTGATTAAGGAAATTACGGCATATCTTTGAGCTACTTCAGACTTTTCCAAGACATTTGAATAACAGGTGCCCTAGAAACAACAGAGCAAATTCCCATCAAATTTGATTTCCTACAGCAACTCGTCTAAAGAAAGAGGTCTGAAAAATCCATTAGGAATTGGCACTCAACAGTTATAATGCAGTGATATGATCAGGAAGGTGTCTGTAATGGGAATTCTCTTTTTTCTCCTCCTGAACACTCTACATTTAAAAGGGCAGTTGCATGACATCATCCTAGATGCAATTAGAAAGTGAACTCTGTGGAAGGTGCTCTGCTCCCAGATATTCAGCCTGTGGTCACTTGTCAATCTCCAGCAGTAGCAGCAATACCCACTTTGTCTTGAAATATTCTCTACTTCATAGGAATTTTCTAACCACATTCCAATTTAATCACAGCTATCAGACTTGAAGCTATTTACAGGATGTTTATAGACCGTGGTAGGCAGGAAGTCAGACTAGATGATCACAGTAGCCATATAATAGTAAAAAATTCAAAACAAGTTAGAAGCCAGAGACTGTGTGTTTGTTTCAGAGACAATAGATCTTTTTCAGCTGCAGAGACTTTAGTAAAGGTAAAAAGAGAAGAATTTGGGTGGTGTCAGTTACCGGGAAATAAAAAGCCCCCCTGTTTTGCAGCAGAGCCACAGCCCTATTTACAACATGCTTTTCTAGAAGAGAATTGCTGCCTCACAGCAAGCACAGCCCTGAGCCTGCTGCCAGGAGCTGTATGGAAAGGTTTCTAATACCCCAAATTAATTTTCAGTTTCTATCAGCTGTGCAGCAGTGCTCTTACACCAAACCCAGACATCCATCACTCCTAGTCAGCAGTGACATTCTCTGTGCCAATGAGCCCAGTAAAATGGGAACACCTTAGCTTAGCACTTTGTATCACAACACATTGTCCCATGACTTCAGCTTTTTATTGTGGAGTTCATCCATTCTGGTTGAGTCAAGCCTCATGAAAAGTTCCAAAAGGGCTGGATGAAAAAAGTAAAATGTTATGTCTGTGTTTCAGAGGGAAAAGTGGATAACACAGGTAAAGAACAACAGGTACAAATCCAAAACTCTTTGCTGATCATCGCTGCTCAAGTTTTCTATCTATTGGAATTTCAAGCTCTCTCATATTGAGGTCAGCATTGCTCAAAAGCAAACTGAATGAGAAGCCAAAGACAGTCAGATACAAACCTATTTCATGAACTTTTTGCATGTAATCCTGCACAAGAAGCACTGGTTCTTGCCTTCCTCCGAATCTTAAAAAAAAAGACTTACAGAAGACTAATTAGGATAATCAGTGGCCTAGGAATGATTTCTACAGATGGTAATTAAATAGACTATGACTTTCCTTGACCTGACACCAGTACAAGAAGCTGTGCCAGATGTTTATAAAACCTGGAGCAGCTTGCAAAGTGTGACTGGAAATAGACCAGTTGTTATTTCCTCCACAGTAAAAAGCAGTAGAATCAAATTAATTTACCAGCAAATCAGCCCAGAACAAATAAAAGATGGCAATTTCTTCACAAACTGCGAATGTGAAGCATCATTCCCTTTGGAAAATAACAGATTCAGAAGGTAACTGAATAACAAAGAGTTAACTGATGGCTGTTAAACATGAAAGAACAAACTGCTGTCAGAATATTTAAGTAACACTTTTCTGCAATGCTCAATTTATGAATCTTCAGCAACTTATTTTGACCCCAACTGGAGACAAGATGCTACAATATGTAGATACTTTGATACAGTTCAGCTTTCTTATGAGCAACTACCAGCTGGCTTGTAATCAGGCCTGTTTCAGTTCAGAAAAGCTTGATTTTGCATTCAGCTTTTTTTTTTTTTTTCCTTAAGAATTTAGAAAAATCTATGGAGTTTTACAGATGTCTAGTGGTCCTGTACCAGGCACTTTAACAAGTTAAAATGCAAGAGCAATGTGGTCTGTTTAAGAGTTTTAAGAGCTGCCTCACATGTAAAATGAACAAGGTTCTGCCAGAATAAGACAGGGCTCTGTACTTTTAAAGAAACCAAGGACAAGGCAGAGAGAGGGATGACAAATAGTTACTGACAGTTTGTAGATGACACACTAAGGGAGTATTAAGTGACTGAAATGAAAATAATTTGTCCCAAGTTAACTGTTCTGTGCCCCAGCTAAGCAAAAAACTCCAGATTTATAGTTGTATCCTCAACACAGTGAATACAGATTAAAATCCAAAGACAGGATTTTCTTTTCCCATTTTGAATATTGTAGTTTCCTGTGCCCCAGTTTTCACAACTCTGAAACAAGTGCATTCCATAGCATCTGTGCAGCCCTGTGAGCTCAGCAAGAGGAGAGGTCCTGTCTCCCTTTTTCCCTGAGGGAAGCAAACACAAATTTAAATAAGTTTCATATAAAAAGTGATTCCAGCCAGGCAGGCCTGTGTATTTTGTTCCAATAGCAGAAGTAAAGCTATTTTCTCTCAAAGAACATCAACTGCAGCCTGAAACAAACATGCTGTCAGTATATGTGCTGTCCTACCTTCACAGCCAGCAAGATGCCAATTCCAAATACTTCTTGTATTCTCCTCTACTACACAAAAAATCTTGCAAAAACAGTATCTTGCCGTCTCTAATGAGACAATTGCTGATTTTCTCTACCTGCTTTCCCTGATAAATCAGTTCACCATCATTCTTTGCTACCAAGTAAATGGATCTATCCTGTGAGATCCATTTTCTTTTAAACACAAAATAAAAGCCTGCTAATCTGGTATCATTTGAAGCAGTGAGTACAGCTGGAAGTGAAACAAATTTTGTACAAGTACTGACTTTACCATTTCCAAGGACATTTTTTTTTTTTCTGTTAGCTGCTCTTAATCTTTTCTGTAGGCTGGAAATCCTCTTCCCAGGGTGTGCTACAGTATCACACGAGCTCAGCTGCTGCAGCAGAGTCCAGAGAATGTCTAGGAAGACGCCGACAAGGTGGAGCTGAACTACAAGTTCTTAAATTAAGAACACAAAACAAAACACAACCAACTTTTCATTGGAAGAGCTACAAGCCTGTATTTGTCCTTAAAAATGTCTTTGATCAGAAACCCAGAGATCTGTCAAATCACAATACAAAAACAAATGCTGTGAACAGTTTCAGCAGGAAGAGCTCAGTTAGCAGGAATGCTGAGCTCCGGATATTGAACTCTTTGATCTTTCCACTTTACCTTTTAGGAGATGAAAGGAAACCTCTGCTCTTGTAGGCAGAGGGTATGGCACAAACATGGGGGTACAACAGGCTGTATTTTACTGTAATAATTCCTAGATCAACCTAGACTAAAGGAAGACTGCCTCTTCCTCTATCTTAGCCTTAATTTTATTTGCCCTTGGAGAAGCAATCCAAAACCTGGATTGCTTATCCAGACTTTGGATTAATTAAGGGTGACAGGGTTTCCTGTCACACCCTCCCCATGCTTTCTGACAGCAGCCTGCTTGCTGTTCAAGCTTGTGCATCATTACCCCTGCACTCAGGTGCTTCTCTGTTTTCCCTCTATTCCCACTCTGACACTTCACCAAGATCCAAGCCCTCTGCTGGCTAAGCTCTGCACTGTGTCCCAGAACGACCCTTTCCAAATTCCTTCCCACTAAGTCATCCAGGGAAATACAGAGAGAGCCTGTTACAATGCCACTCCACCCCGAGCGCTCGCTGCTCTCCCTTCTGCTGTGGAGCACTCTGTCTCCAAGCTGCCTCCAGTAAAATTCCTACTTCCAGAATGGAAAATTTCAGACACAAACTTTCATAAAGTTACAGTGAAATGAAAATAGAGGAAGCTCACAGAACCTGATGTACTATTTCGGAAACCCTGACCCTCAATGTAACCTCTTGCCAGAACACACTTGTCACAAAAATGTTAATTGCAAGCAAGTCAACATTGCCTCAAACAGTTTTCTGTCACAGCTCAGACTAAGCAAAGAACATCATCTCTTCTGGCTTTTTTAGACACCTTAGGGCTTTTGTTTATCACACTAGAGATTCCCAAAAACACTTGCAGAGCTGAAGCTTTCTGTACATGCTTTTAAGGCCAGAATTTAAAGTGATTTATAATCAATTTATATTAGAAGAATCAGCACTAGAGGAGCATATTGCCTCAAGTCAGACACCGATTCTCTCCTCCTCATATTTTAAGTTAATTCAATCTTGTCTGTTCAGCCTATTGTAAATTATTGTGACCAAGAACATGTTGCATGCTAATTCTGGTTTCAGCACTACCGGAAAGATTATTTAAAATACTTCTAAAAATTTTCTAATAAATATTAACCATTATATTGAGAAAGCAGATTTTTTTTTTTTTGTAATTTTCAATTGGTACGACTCATTAGTCAGACTCCTTTTGATCAGAACCAGGAAACAAACCACCTATTTCACAAATACTTTGATATCAACTTGCTTTCATGTTACATTT